TTGCCACAGCACTAGTACTTCTACAGCACAACTTTCTGTATATTGATATTATACTTGCAATAACAAGTATGCAATGCTAATGAAGGCTCTGAATGGTAACAAAGACAAATTTCTACCTTTGGTCCTAATCCTGAAGACATTTCTAAAATTTACCTTCTCCTCAAACCTCTCACTGGCCCTGAGCCTTAAAGATTTCACCTCTGAGCCACTTCTGACATATTTCTTCCAGATACACTGCACTGAGGAAAAGCGCTATCAGCTTAGCCTTTGCTTACTCCTCCAATACAAACATAGAGCTTACGACACAGTTTCATTAGATTGATTCACCCTTCAGTTTACAACTGAAGCAAGAATTTAAGGTCCATCTGTAATCACAGAGAGGTGGAGAGAGAGAGAGGCAGAGAAGGAGCCACGGCACACCAGGATGTAAGAAAGCTAAATTAACAATGCCCATCCTACTGTGTTGCAAAACAGAGTCTCCAGAAAGACAACCACGCAGCTTTGGCCCTAAAATGATGACAGCAGGCTATCTAATTAACAATTACTGCTTCCCATAGTCCTCACTCATCACCTACCGTATTCTTCTCTTTGTAATCCACTACCTGTGGAATCGCCTTCCTTTTGCATTCCCCCAAGCTACGGTAAACTTACACCTCTGCCATGAAATCCTCGCTGAGTATTCCTTATAAAAACATAAGGCTGATGACCAAAGGAAATACAAACACTGCTCTTAAAAAAGAAAAAAAAAAAAAAAAAATTCTGTCATCATTGAGTGATTTCTCTCATGCGGTCACAACAACCCCATAAGCTCATGCTTAGCCCCTGGGGAGCCCTTCTAAAGTTGAGTTACAGACCCACGACCACCCTCGCAGAACTGGAACCTCGGACTAAACACTATCTGGGCCATGGAGACTACTTTGGTTTTTCCTTTTTGCATCTTGTTCAAAACCAGACAGAAATGATGTTTAATAAATAAATAATAAATAATAAATAACAGTAGCATGTCAACATTTCCTTTTAAATCAGGCTCAAAAGGAGGAGGTCAGCAGCAGCCCACCAAGTCTGCATATGTTGCATTCCTTTATCAATCTGTTTCTTCCCACTGGCAAGAGGGGAGGAAGCAGAATTCAAAATGAACATAATTTTGTGTGACTGATTTAGCATGTATGAATACAAGTGACAACTGCCCTGGTTTTCACTCCAGTGGAAGGCACCGGAGCATCACAGCAGAGATGTACTTGTATGTGAACAGGTGGGTTGATTTGTCAAACGCTGGGGTAAAGTTAGACATTGAGAAGCGAAAGTGTAAAAAGTAACCTCACAGGCTCTGTGTCAATCATCTCCCAAAGGGCTTCACATCAAGTGTGTTCAGTTAATACAGAGAAGATGTTCACTTGGTTGGTGGTTGGTTGTTTTGTAACTGCCAGCCCGAGAAACGGGAAACGAATAACCTTCCAGCAGAAGGAAGGAAACATTTTTGTAGCAATCTTCCCTCTCCCCGTACACCTTCATAGTGTGATATATATATGAAATACATAATATTATAGCTTGGTTTATGAAATTGCTTTTTATGGCTCCCAGATCTTCAGGAAATGTACAAATAAATATGAAAGAGAGAGGGAATAAGATGCACGTGCACAAAGCAAAGCAAATACCAAAATGAGATAGCAGCAGTCTGCTGGCTGGATGGTGAGAGCCAAAATCATAAGCATCCAGTTATTTCAGAAACCCTTGCCAATAGACTAAATAGAATACCATAGGCCAGGTGTCAGTGATTATAATCCCACTGATGCCAAGTGAGTGGCTCCCATTTACAGCAAGCCTGACTTTGGCTCTCTCTCTCCGTAGTACAAGAAATAACTCACAAAGCATGGACTTGAAAAAGCAGCCACACAAACCGTACCTGCAACTCCCCTACTTGCAGTATAAGGACCCAATACAGGGCAGCTCTTGTTCGCCTCCGTTGCCTTGTTATACGCTACAAATCTCACTGAACTTAAACCAACAACAAACACTGCCCCTGCTCACGTGCATAGCTGCTGTGAAAATAAGAACCTGCATAAATACCTAAGCCTGTTATTTCAAGGCCAATTCTGCCATGGAAAACAAGCGGTTTATGGAGGAGATGACCTGGATACTTCTGAAAACAAAATCATCACTGCGAAGGTAATAGGCATGCTCACACGACCTTAGGCCACACTCGGAAACCATTCATTATCACCCAGCTACCAGCAACAGAGTATGCTCAGGCATCCTTCCCAGGTTGAAATGGAACTAAGCCATGATTTCTTTCCTGGAAGACACACAATTTTTGGACACCTTAGCTGCTTACAGGCGTGTGTGGGGGTAGACATGAAAGCAGACAATGGTTTGAAAAGTATTACTAAAAAAGTAAAATCAATAAACTTGTAAGCAATGAATTCTGAAAGCCTGCCTGCCTTCATTTTGATAACCAGACACTCTTCTCTCCTCTAAGTGGTCCTTTTTGGGGAGAAACAGCAGCCTGAGCACAGTGAATGAGCAAGTCAGACTGACAGGAGAACGGGCCAAGCTATGCCTCGCTTGTACAAAGTAACAGTTTTCCCAAAAGGATGTACATCTAGGTAAATTAGTAAACAACGAGATGTTCCATTTCCCTTTTTTTTTTTCCCCCTAAACATAAAACCTTTCCACTGCTGAAGACACTACAAGGATTTTTTTTCTTACCATTTTTAACTACTGTACAGTGCTTATCTATCCTTTTACAAGTGGAACCTTGTAGCTATGGAGACGAAGAATGTTAAATCCAAGCTGAAGATAGTATTTCACTGGGGGCTTATGGTTGCTACATGTGCCTTCAGTGATCTGTTGTTTTCGGTCTCCTGAAGTCTTCTGTACTAATAGCCAATGCATATTGCATCACCACGCAAATACAGAGTGTACTTTCTACCAGTCACAGCCTGGGACAGCACTATCACGTTCAGTACAGTCTTACTGATTTATACCATAACCAAGAATCCCACAGACAACATGGTAAACAGTTTCAGTCCTGCAAAGCTGTGCACCAGCTTAACTTGACCTGAACAGAACAGCGGTATAAAATTGTTCCAGTACTGCGATGGCACCTGGAAACCAGGCGAACTGGGGTCCCCTTGTGTTTAATGCTGTGTTTAACAATCGACATCAACGTGAAGCAATTATGCCACATTGACCTTCTGTTACTAGATCTAGTAGGACTCTTCAACTTTCTATTTATTTGCCATAATCCAAATTATCTGAATTTCAGTCTCCCAGACAACATCGCATACTCCCTGTCTTCTGTGTGCTACAATCATGATCCAAATTCCATTACAGATTACGGTTTCATTACACGGACTTTCAAGTTGGGGTGTGCAGATTCACCTGTCTTCCATATCATTTTGGGTGTAAATTGAACGGCATTTCATTCAAGCTAATGAAACTTCAGCGCTGTTAAACCTGAGCATGAAGAGGAGACAGCCTTTCAGGTCAAATTATTGCTCCTTGTGACAGCCAGTGAAAATTCAAAATAACTTTGTTAGCATCACTTACTTTCTGCTTGTGCTGCTAACAGGAAAAAAACCCCCACACTTTCATTCCCACGATACTGGTAGAAATGACAAGAGTATGACTGGTGGTTTTCTTTTTTGAAGGCAACACTTCTCCAGAGAAAACAATCCCAAAACATATACTTTTTTTTCGTCCCCCTCTTAGCTTTGTGGTCCCAAATCAGCTAGGGACTTCAGTTGCCAAATACGATACATCTTGAAGCTGCCCTGTTGTTAGAAAGTGAAAACATCCACTTTTAAAAGATCAGGATCCTATATCTTGCTATATCAACTACAGCCTGCTCAACACTGCTCATCTTTAACAGACCTTTCATACCACCTGGCTCTCAAAGACATTGGTCAAAATCTACCATAGTTAAACCCAATTTGCATAAATGGATATGAATAAATTTCAACAGGCACATTAAGCACTCTCCGGTAGGATGTCCACAATCACGCACGCAAAATCACCCATGGTCCCCTCATACCACATCACGTGCAGGATTAAGTAACGAGTACTGAAACGTAATCGTGAAATCCTCCTTACCAGGTATAAACAAGCAATGGCATTCAAAAGTAAAAACATTTCTTATATACACATTAATAGAGTCATTGACAATACGGCAATGAAAAAATACAGTATTTTCTTGCCAACGCTGAACAACAGACAAAAGAAGCACTGAGAGCTTTTCCTATTTGTACTTCCCCTGTTGCCGAGTCGAAATCATAACACGGCCTTAAGCGCGTGAAACTACTAACTCCAGTAGAGCTGTCTCCCAAGCTAAGCCTTCACTGATCACTAAAATGAAATTAAAAAAACCCCAAGAATCCCCCCTCTTCCAACCCAGATACTCGCAAATGTACTGTTTGACCAGGGGCCTTTACAAGGCTCAAGTTCAGAAGGCAGCTTGGATGTTCCTGCTTCTCCAAGAAAACCAGTGCATGCCTAACTCTAGGGTTGTGCAGCAGTCCTGTTGTCCCCTCATTTACTCCTAACCAGATCGAAAACGCAGAAAAATCTTTGGAGTTATCTTTAAATAGGCCATAAACCCCTGAAGATTTGACAAGGGGTCTGGAGTAAAGAGGTTTCCATATCCATTTTTGAAACAGAAAAGGTTCTTAAACTCCTCTGTTTCTACCAATACGTTAAAAATGGGATGCTCTTGTAGCCACAGCTAATAAAACGGGTGCAAATAGGAGAAGAATAACACTCCAGATGCCTTTACCATAGTTATTTACTTCAACTTAACCTGTTTTGTTTTGAAGTCTGAATTATCCAAAATAATCACCATCGCTTCCCTGACTGTTGTTATTTAATGAGATAACCTTTCATACCGAGCAAACCCAAAAGCAAAAAAATCTCATTAATCTTTCTAGTGTTTAGAGACACCTCAAGAGCTTCAAACATTTACCTCTCCTTCCCAGCAGCTGAAATGGTTTTAGGAGGATCATGGTTCATACCTCACATTCCCTGGAGCCAGAGATGGTATACGTGCAGGGCCCAGATCCATTAACCGATACATCCATGGTCTCAGAGTTTGTTGGCTTGTAGTCCACGTAATACTCCTGTAAAGGGGAGTTCATTTGCCTTTCAGACTCTCGGGCCTTTTTCCTGCGCCTCTTCATGAGAGTATGCTGCTGGAGCTGTTTCATGCTGGCTGGATAGCGCTTCCACGACACGTAGATAACCAACAAAATCATGGCCACAGAAAGAAAGAGGGCCACGCTCCCCGCAATTATTTTGTGAAAGGAAACGTGCTCATACTCTGGTTCCACTCCAGGTGTTGGGATGTCTGCAGAAGGGCTTGGCATAACCGATGTTGGCTGATTGCTTTCAAGTTTGGAAATGGTAGGTTTGGGAATGAAGATAGGTCTCTGGGGAGTTTTGGGTGCCTGGTATGATCTTTCAGTAACCACCACCTGGATTTCAGCACAGATATTATATGTTTCCACAGCATCGCTCACTTTTTCACCCTGGATATGTTTAGGGCCTGCACATATCATAGTGCTTTCTTTATTTCCCTTGAAATTCTTAAGCCAAGTAAACAGAGGGCAAATGCTCCGCGTACATTCCCACATATTTCCAGACAGAGTGATGGAGATGAGCGAGATCCATGTATTGATGGTCTCCTGAGAGATGTTGGTGAGTTTGTTGGAATCCAGGTTCAGCTTTTGCAGGTTGGGGAGGCACTGGAAGGTCCCAGGCTCTATCCCTGTAATGTCATTTCCTGATAAATCCAAGTTGTGCAAGGAACTCCAAGTCCACGTTAACCCTTGGCTAATAGACCGGATCCTATTCCACTGCAAATAAATCGAGCGAAGGTTGAAGAGGCGTGGAAAGTGGGCAAAATTGATCTTAGAAAACTGGTTGTGCTCCAAGTGGAGCTCTGTCAACTTCAAAAGGCCAGCGAAAGCATTACGGGATAAGCTCCGCAGGCGGTTGTAGCCCAAATCCAGAAAGTCAAGGTTTCGGCAGTCTTGGAACACTCGAATCGGCACGGTTTTCAGCGAGTTAGACCGCAAATGCAAGATCAAGAGTTTACGAAGGCCCTTGAACTGCTCAGACTGCAACACCTGCAACTTGTTGTAAGAGAGGTCCAGATTGCGGAGGTTGGGGACTGGGTGAAATGTTTTGTTGTGCAGATGGGTAATTTTGTTGGAGCTTAGAATTAATTCCTTCAGCCTGCGGATCCCCTGAAATGCATCCTCATCCACGGAGCTGATGTAATTATGGTCAAGATAAAGCCATATGAGCTGATTCAGGCCTGCAAACTGATTTGATTTAAGCTTCTGAATGCTGTTGTACCGTAACGATAAGCCTTGAGACCCTCCAGAAATATTCTGAGGGATGTCTCTGAACGCATGAGATTCACAGTACACAATCTTGCCATCGCATCTGCAGTTCTTGGGGCAAGCTCGCTGAGCCCCCGCAAGCATAACAAACAGCACCATAGGAAGTAGCACTAACACCACACTCATGCCTCTCAGCTGCTTAATTAAATGGAAACCTACAATATTAAAAAGAAAACAAATGTGCATTGTAAAGCTATTAAAATAAATCACCAACAGATTACTAACGTCAATGGGGTTTCTAATGAAGCGTTAGTGAAGCAGTGGATTTTGAAGACGACCTGTTTGCCTCCTGTCTTGCACCTTTTGTTGTGTAAATTCCTGCCCTTTGAGTTTCTGGCTTGCCATCCCTCCTACCCGCACCATCACCAGTACTGCTCTTGTTATTCTATTACTTTTGTGTGATTTATGAGCCTTTAGAAGGACCAAGAGCCTGTTCTCTATTCGCTTTTCTCCTGTACATCATCTCTCAATGTAGCCGGTATATCCTTATCGCTAGATGCTGAGGTTTTAACAATAAACATATTTGTCAAGTCACTGTGCTGAATGCTCCACAGTGCTGGAAAGGAAATTAGCCAAAGCTTCTGGTATTTACGTGCTGCTAAACGTGTTCCTTAATAAAAGCAATTGCAAGTCCAATTCCTCCAACAATTACTGCAAAAAGTGAGAAATCTACTTGTCATAAAGTTTGATCCATCTTTGAAATGTATATTTGTTGTAAAAGTAGACATCAGGTAAAGGCTTTACTTTTTGCACCGAGTGATTTGTTTTTATGAGTAGGTTTAAGTAGATTTTTCTCATTATTTTTGTGTACCTAAAATACATAAATAGATGCACCGAAACAAAGTTCAACCATATAGAGAAGTATACCACATAACGCTAGTATGGGACCCCAATACCAAGATAATGGGAGGAGACAGATTTCCTTCAAATGAATCATAGTCTTAACACATATTCATTTAAAGTTATCTACATGTAGCTGTGAATACCTAAGCATTTATTATTTTGTATATACATTATATACTCTATGAAAATTTACACACAAATACTTACATATAAAACACTGCCTTAGGAGCAGCGAAACACAGAAAGTTTAAAGGGGTATATTTCTATTTCAACTCCCCTCTCTTCCACAGCTCTACTGATTTTAAGGATTTTGCATTTGAGATGTCAGCTTTATCATATAGTAGCAATGCTGTTACGTGAGGACAGGCACATTTTCCACATTCTTTGAATAATTATGAAAGGGGGCGGAAGGGCTGTCAGAAAACCCAACATTCATACGCACACTTCCCTTAGCCTGTAATAATTTCAGGACTGGTGCCTCTGTCCAGAGTTGCAATCTTGCTAAGAATTACAATGCATTCTTCCAACAGGAAGTATTTTAAGGGCCAGTATCTCCTCGATAAGTAATTACTTTATTATTTGTCACACACACAGAAAACTAACCCTGTGCTGCAGCTATTTAATCCAATTTAAAACCAAGGGGCAATCTGCAAAATAATTCCTAATCTAAAATGCTCCTGACTATGTGTCTCTGCCTTTCACTTTAATGCTTAGGGTTTTTTTATTTAAATCCTCATCTTTTGCTATTGCCTATGTGCCAGCAGCAGCCAGCTAAAATATGTTCTGGCTGTTACAGACTTGGGGGCTGAGGGGAAGGAAGGAGGGAAATAAACCTGTCACACTTGAAAAAATAAGACTGGTAAATGACTGCTGGAAATCTAGCAGCAACATTAGGGCTATCTTTTCAAAGACCAAACAAGCCTTTTCAAAACCACCTATACAAGAAAATCACCCCCTCCCCTTTGCTTCCCACATACTGCAAAGTGTTAACAGTCCTTTCTGACAGCCTGAATAATACCACTACAGGCTCATCGAATATGAATATAAACCCAGAAGAAATTTTGTGTGAGCGTGCCTCATGCATACATGTACTTATCGATACATGTGCAGGTGTGTGGGTGGGCTGTACAGACAGCGAACGTACTCTCCACAGTCCTTAACTCGGTGCATGCATTTACAGATTAATTACATATAAAACCACTGCAGGAGGAAAGGTGTGTATGTGCGGGGGGGGGT